CACTTGGCTAATCTTTTTTTTAAAAAACAGTAACATAAGAAGATTATTACATGAATTTAAAGAACAGTTTGTCAAATTCAGTTTTGAGACAAAATGTGGTAAACTTTAAAAATATGAATAGAGTTTCCCCCATGGTGATGAGGCTTGAATTCAAGGCCTGATGCAAGCTAGGCATGCAATTAACTACTGGGCAGCTATACTCCCAGACTATGAATGGGGATTATTTTTCATGTTTAAAAGACATTTTATTTACTTTTATTTTTTGTGTGCATGGGTGAGTGTCTGCATGTATGTCTGTGTACCACTTGCATGCCTGGTGCCTGAGACAGGGTCTCATGTCCACTGGCCTGGAACTTGTCTGGTGAGCTAGAATGCTTGGTCACTGAGTGCTGGGGCATCTACCTTTCTGTTTTCCTAGGATCAGAATTACACACCAATCTTGCTTTAAAAGAAGGGGGAGGGGAACACTTGCTTCAAAATATGTGTGGGTGTCAGAGGAGAACCCAGAAAAGCATGTTCATCATGTGGGTTCCTGGATCGAAATCTAGGCACCAGTCTCTGGGGTGGGCACCTTTACCTACTGAACCATCCTGCAGCTCACCTCATTTGAATGTGGGTTCTGGAAATCAAACGCGGACCCCAGTTCTTGCAAAGCAAGCATTTACATACTGAGCTATTGCCCCAGTTCTCGGTTAGTCTTTAGAAAAGGTTTACGATACAATTAACAAGGGCTGTTGAATTTGGTTGATGTAGTTAGAAATCTCACATTCCGCTTTCCAGCTCTTGTCGGGGACCTTGCGGTAGTTATTTAATCTTCCTCTTGTGAATTTTCAATATATATTCATGGTATTGCCTGATGCCCTGAGATCAAGCGGACAGGCTAATGATATTTAACTTTGGATGCAAAAGGTAACTTCAGTTTTAAGAAGTTGGGGGGGGGGGTGGTACTAAAACAATTGTGGGTTTGTTTGTTTGTTTGTTTTTCTGATTTTTCGAGACAGTGTTTCTCCGTGTAACCGTTCTAGTCGTACTGGAACTAGCTCTTGTAGACCAGGCTGGCCTCATGCCTACAGAGATCCGCCTACTTCTGCCTCCTGAGTGCTGGGATTAAAGGCGTGTGCCACCACCGCCTGACTTGTTTGATTTTTGTAAAGAGTTCTTTTAGATAAGAATGTAAGCGAAGAGTGTTAATTTTTAGTTTGTTCTTTCTATTTAGTGGTTCTGGTCTTTGGCAGTCCTGGACCTTCTTATGTAGACCAGGCTGGTCTCTAATTCACCTGTCTCTGCCTTTTTCAAGCATGTGCCACCATAGCTTCCTTTGGTTTCCAAAAACAAGGGTAAGGGGGCACCTGGACTTGAACCAGGGACCTCTTGATCTGCAGTCAAATGCTCTACCACTGAGCTATACCCCCATTGGTTATTCTAGTCTTCCTCTGCCTCTGTGGACACTCTGGACTTCGGACTGAGAACGGGCAGACGGTCCCTACCCATTCAAAAAGGACTTGCCAGTCATGAACAAAGTATGTGGGTCACCAAATAGTGCAATCTACAATGTCTGACCAACGAATCTCAGGGCAAATTTACTTTTGCTTCTTGTGGTGATAGGTGGCGTTCCCGTTCACCAGCACTAGCGACTTAAACCTAGCAGAAGACTTTCCAGGTTCCACAATCTACATTTCGTCTTTCCGGGTATTCCTGGTCCCCGGGCGGCTGGCGGAGGTTGCTGAGTGGTAAACTCTGTACTCTCGCCACCCGAAGAAGCAGCAAGAATTTTTGCTGCGGAGACAGTCCCCTTAGCCGCGAGGTCAACGAGCCCCAGGCTCCGCCCACCGTATCTGCCGGACGCAAGGGCAGTGACGCTACTCTGCCTGCGACACCGGTGAGTCCGCCGCCTACGCTACCCAGAAACTGGGGCTGGAGCTGTGATTGCGTCACGTGTGTACCTCAGCACCTGCTCTGTTTTCCATTGCTGAGTCTGCTGAGCTCCAGAGTCGGTGGAAACTCGGAGCCGACTCATTCATAACATAACTTGGGTTAGTGTCTTGAGAGGGAGCTCAGTTCCGGTGTTGCGAGTCCTGGAGACGCGCGAGATGGAGAGCGCGTGCTCGGGTTGTCCCCCGTCTCGTGCTCCCGGTGTCCGGAGTGTAGGGAACTCGGTGTCTCTAGACTGCGGAGAACCTCAGGCTGTGGACTTCGCGGGAAGAGTCACCCGCTCGAGATCGGGAGGACGGGAGTGGAGAGTAGCGCTTAACACTTCCTCTTCGTGCTCCCCTTACGGAGAGGCACCCTTTCGGGCTAGAGAGCTTATTTTAGTTCAGACGGTAGTTCAGACGGGAGAAAGACAGCTGTGCAACGTCGGGCACTTTAATATTAACTGGGGACAATCCCGTTCAGCGAGATAGATGGTGGGCAAGGTCTCTGGCCAGATCCTGACGAGTTCCTCTAGAGGTCAAGTTTGGGGACTATGTTTTAATGATGAAACGAATACTTACCATTGGCATTGCGATGGGGATTAGGTGGGTGCGGGTTCCAGGAAGGGCAAAGATGAGCGCAGTACCGCAGTCTGGTGAATATTCTCATCATATCACCAACTGTTGGAGTTTTTCAACAAGTTGGCTTTTTATTTTTTTAAATATTTATTTATTATGTATACAATATTCTGTATATTCTGCGGGCCAGAAGAGGGCACCAGACCCCATTGCAGATGGTTGTGAGCCACCATGTGGTTGCTGGGAATTGAACTCAGGACCTTTGGAAGAGCAGGCAATGCTCTTAACCTCTGAGCCATTTCTCCAGCCCCATGTTGGGTTTTTAAACATGTTCAGATACAGATAATTTTAGAAAGAAACTGAGTTTAAATTTGATAGACCCTACTCCCATATCTAAAATGAAGATTATGTCAGTTTTCTATTAAAGTGACGGGGACTTGCTAAACAGAGACATACTTGTTCCCCGCAACTCTTAAGTGAGTTCAATACTTAAGAGAATGTTGAATGTTTGGGGGTAAATTTTGTAGTGCCATTGTAACGGTTTTGTTTTTCTTTCTTTTTTTTTTAATATTTGGTGTGTGTGTGTGTGTGTGTGTGTCTCCCAAAGTCAGTTCTCTTCTGCCACCTTGTGGGATCCTGGGATCAAATTCAGGTTATCAGGCTTGTCCACAGTGTATCCACTTGGCTGGGCCATCTGCAGGCCCCTTGGCGGTATTTTAATAATAATACTTAATAAAGTATGTTACTGGAAGTATATTTTATCACATGTATTTGTATTAGGGTTAGGGATTTAACTCAGTGTAGAGAGCTTGCCTGGAATGCATCAAAAACCCTGGTTCTCCTCTGTTATTTTGCTCTTGAGATGCACATAAGTGACTCTTCAGCCCAGATAAGACACCAACAGACCAAGGAAACGATTCCATCTAAGTCCAGTTTGGTGAGCCAGTGAGATTATGGGGTAATTACTGATGCGTGGGTATGCCAGGGAGCTACTTCCTGGACAAGCTCTGTCCAAGCATGGGTGACCTCTAAAGCCACATCAGTGGAGTCCCAACCCCAGTAAACCTTCCTATGTCACCCCTAAGAGCCACGGGAAACCGTAGTTGGGACGTGGGGAAGTTGGGTTTTGGTGAGTGAGCAGAAGTGGATGGATAAGCAGGTGAAACTCACTCCTGACCCATTTCAAGGACCGAATGCTAATAGGCCCATCCTTGGGATATTTTGAGGTCTCATTGGGTAACAAGAGATATGCTGATTTCAAGACTACAAAGGTCTTATCTATCTAGTAGATGGAGTTCCACTAGCCAGGCACCTAGCAGGCAGGGGCAGGAAAATCACTGTGAGTTTGGGCCAGCCTGGTCTACATAGCAAGGTTTCAAAATCTCTAGTATTATAATTCTAAATTAAACGTTAATCATTTCTTTTCTTTTTTGGGGTGGTGGTTTTGAGACAGGGTTTCTCTGTGTAGCCCTGGCTGTCCTGGAATTCATTCTGTAGGCCAGGCTGGTCTCAGGCCGAGAGATCTGCCTGCCTCTGTCTCCCGAGTGCTGGGATTAAAGGCACGCATCACTACCACCCAGATTGGCACATATAAAATGTTAAATAGGCACATGTAAAATGTTGAATAACTGTTGGATGGGATTCACACTTGTGAACTTGCTCTCTTGTGTGAACAGGTAAGCGAGGTCAGTCAGAGACTGGCTGGTTTGCCTTACAAAGCAGAAAAGTAGAATTCTGCCTCTAAAAGTCAGACCAAGAATCAACACAAATTTACAATTACATTCTCAAAAGAAAATTCGAGCTGGAAATGAAGTGTTTCAAGAGGAGAACCATGGTGAGCTCCAGTTTTATTTTATGCTTGCATATTCAATAGTAAGTATTGCAGATTCTTGAGTATATTGGCCAAAACATTCACACAATAACACGCTCACATAACTACTAGATACTCTTCATGGATTATCATTATCATTATTATTATAATTTTGGAACAGAAACTGAAGTGTAGTGTTTTTCTATTCTGTTAAATTAATTGCAGAAGTCCTAAAGTGCTGCTGGAGTTCTTCCAGGAAGCAAGCTTAGGTCCTTGTATATGCACATTATCTAGGCCATGAAAAGGGTTTCAGATATATTTATCTATGAAACAGGCTTATCCTTTTGGTCATAAGCTTATCTGTAAGGTTACTACTATGCGATCGCTGGCAAATGTTTCTGTATACTGACTAGCAGTATAGATCCAATACAAATACAAAAAGAAGAAGAAAAGAGCTTTACAAGAACAGGACAGTGTGAACAAATTACAAACACATACAGTGTAGTAAGCATTTTGTTCTGTTACACAAAGTCTCATTCTGATTTTCTATACAGACCATATCTCTCTATTGCTAGATCTGCACACTGGCAAACTGTCCGCACACGTCAGTAATGTTTTCAGAACATACTAAATGTTTCTTTAACTAATACAGTGGTATGACCTTAATTGTTTTCTCGTTTAAACTGGCTGTTCTTGTCAGGTTGAGAAAGGTCAAACCACAGCTGGACTGAGATACCTGAGATGAGAGCTACCAACTTGAAGGCAGAGAAGTGTCAAATTAGAATTTCGTATTATCAATCACTGTCATAAATTGGTACTTTTAGTTATTACTATGACTTGTATAACTTTTACATATGTTTGAAGAATAACAGAAGCTAAAGAATATTGTACAACTGGGTATCTGTCCCATTTTGACATTGTCTTGCATTTATTTTGATATTCTGTAGTTAATTCCAGGTTGCTTTACTTGAGCCACGTCATTCTTCACTTCCTGTAAACCACTCCATAGCTCTGCCTTTCTTCATAAAATTAGTTTCCTTTTCTTTGTTTGATTGATGGTCATTGGCTACTGAAATAAAATATGCATTTTAAGGTAAATTGTATTTTAAAACAAAAATTTATATATTTTAAAATATTTTTTGACTTTATTTTTGAAACAGTCTCAATTTGGGAGTAGTGATCATGCTTTTAATCTCAGAGTTTGTTGAGGAAGAGGCAGGAGGATTAAGATACAAGAGGCCCTACTTCAAAAAAAAAAAAGACCAACTGCCTCTTCCTCCCAAGTGCTGGGATTAAAGGTCCTAGTACATATTTTAATTGTTTGTTGGAACTTTAAAGTAATAATGAGCCAAGCAGTGGTGGCATAAACCTTTAATCCCAGCTCTTGGGAGGCAGAGGCAGGCGGATCTCTGTGAGTTTCAGTCCAGCTCGGTCTACAAAGTGAGTTCCAGAACAGCCAGGACTGTTATACAGAGAAACCCTGACTTGGGAGGTGGGGTGGGGAGTAGAAAAAGCTGGATGCAGAAGTGGTGGACACCTGTAATACCAACACTCCTATAGCAATATGGGAGGTAGAAACAGGAGTTTCACCTGGGAGCTTGCTGGTTGGTCAGCTAGCCTAGAGTGCTTGGTACAGCAGCCAAAACAAAGAAAGAGCCTCCCTCAAGAGGTGGGGGGCAATCTCCAAAAAGCCACAAAAACATAAACAAAAGGAAAACAGGACTGTAATAAATAGGAAGAACTGAGGAAGAACCCATGAGAATGATATAATCTTAAAAATTATAATAAAGATGTAACATTGTTGCTTTTGTTTCTAGGAATTGACACCAGGACCTTGAGCCTGGTACATCTTAAACTCACTATTAATGGAGTACACCCTCAAGACATAATAATTCTCTTTGTTTGGTTGGTTTCTATTCCTCTGGGACTTAAAGACAAGGTGTCAAGTAGTCAGGGTGGCCTTGAACTCTGATCCTTCTGCCTTTCTCTCTAGAGTCTCATTCTATAACCTAGGCTGACCTTACTATAGCTCAGGGTATTCTGGAACTAATGGCAGCCCTCCTGCTCCAGTCTCCTGAACTCTGGAATAACAGATGTGAGCTACCATCGACAGAATTTTGCTTGCTTGCTTGTTTTTCAAGACAGTGTTTCAGACAGAATCCTTTTAACCAGGTTAAAATAACATCAGAATTAATATAACTGGTACCTACGAATAATCCCTATTCCTAGTTCACATTCCTACAGAATATTTCTGCCATCATTGATGTATTTCATTAATTCTGAGGCTGAAGCAGAACTGCCATGGGCTCCAGGCTGGCTTGGGTTATATATATAGTACATTCATGCCTGTAGCTGAGGAGGCCATTAGCTTTAGAGGGGAACCTACTTCCGTATTTTGCTAAGGGGACATGATGCTGTGCTGCTTTCTAAACATTTAACATTATACCCCTAGATTAGTGCTGCTCTCAACCTTGGTCATAGAGGCCTTTTGTGGTGGGCAGTGGTTAATGAATAAATTCATAACTGGTCAGAGTGCTGAGAGTCAGTGACTGGTGCTTAGCCCTAAACGGGACATCTGTGTATTACACACACTTGCAGTTCAGAGAGGAAAAGAATGTTAAGAGCCAAGGACAGAGAGAAGTGCTATAAAACACTTAGGGAAATGACATTGTGCAAAGAAACCCACAACAGCCGTGTTTACCTGCATAAGATCAACCCCATCAACATTCTAGCATAGATGGGAGAGGGGAGTCATTTTTCTTCAGTAGTATAGCCACTGGTAAGGTGCCCTTGCTCTAGCAAACGAACATGTAAGCAACGCTAATTAAACTTGGCGGGTTACTTTAACAACAAAAACAACAACAACAAACTATCAAACAAACCTGAGTATGATGGAATATACCTTTAATCCTAGCACCCAGGTGGCAGGGACAATTGGATCTCTGTGAGTTCAAGGCCAGCATGTTTTATATAGTAAGCTTTAGGACACCTAGGGTAACATAGTAAGATTCTATCCCAAAAAAAAAGTTTTTTAAAGACATGGAATTAATAGGTGGATATGTTCTAAAGAGGGTGTCCAGAGAGAGAAAGAGGGCTATCAAAGTGGGGAATGGGGAGGTAGGGGCAGGAAGATGAGAAAGAGCTTGGCATCGGGATCAGGCTATGTGGGATCTTAGAGGCCTTCTAAGGAGTTGGCTCAGTATGTAGCTGAGGTTGACACCTTGAACTTTTGATCCTCCTGCCTCTGCCTCCTAAGTGCTGATAATACTGGTGTGAATTACTGTGCCTTTATTATGTAATTCTGGGGATCAAATCCTATGGTCAGTGAAGGCTAACCAAATACTCTGTCAACTGAGCTATATCTCCAACCCAAATTTGGCTATCTTAAAAACAAAAAACTGAGGTGCCACTAAAGTAACTTAAGGGTAACATGCTTAGATTTTTGTGTGGAAAAGCCATTCTGGCTGCATTAAAGTACTCACTGAGGTCTGTCTCTAGAGTAACTAGAGTTTTGATATCCTATGTCAGGTCCTACGTGACTACATGGAGAAGGGATTGGATTAAAGGCAAATGAACATCCTGTTGCTTAACCTTTTTCATTTCAAACTAAGTGATCTTAGTTTCTGCTTAGCATATTAGCATATGTCCAATGGATAATTGAACAATATCTCTCTATCATTGTATCCATCTTAATTTTGAATTGAATGTTAAACAAATTAGCATTTGTTTTCAAATAGTTCATCAAGCTTCCGTTTAAGACCTTTCTCCAACCCTTCTCTCTCATTATGTTTGCATTCTATTTATGGCCCGGATGCCATCCCCAGCTCTGTCAGGATCTCACTCCCTGTGTAGCTCAGACTAGCCTTGAACACATGATCTTTATGTCTCAGCATCTAGGTACTAGGATTATAAGCATGCTAGGACAAATGCTAACTAAATGTTAACTTTCTTTCTCCTTCCTTTCCTTTTCATTTTTTTGAGACAGGCTCTCATGTAACTCAGGCTGACCTCAAACTGATGATGACCTTGAATTCCTGATCCACTCCACATCCAAAGTGCTGAGGTTATTAAGTATGTGCCACCATGCCTAGCTTCATGATAATTTTTTGTGTCTGTGTCTGACCCTCATGTATCATGCTCAAATCTTAAGAGATCTGGTTCAGAACTGTCTTCCGGTTGATTTCTAGAGGCCTTGCCCTACGTTTCCTATCCAGTAAATGGTCAGTAAGTTTGCTGGTGGCTTTAAGTTACACTGGATCATGCATCGTTTCATCTAACTTAGTTATAGTAATGCATATGTGGTTAGGAATTAAAGGGGACAGGTATAAAAAATATAGTGAAGAAAGAACCAGGTTAGCTAATGATTCAGTGTAAGACATTGTATTTTCAAATTCCTGTCATTCCACTCCGTCCCTTATGTTTGCTAGTCCCTGGCAAAACAGGACTAGGAACTCAATGTCCTGTTCATTCCTTACTTGTTCTGAAAATCTTTTACCAACTTTCTCATTCTACAGAGAGAATTCTGTAGTCTATTATGTTTTTGAAGATAGGATTCTCTAGAGCTTTGGCTAGCTTAGAACCTACAGTAGTTCTCCTTCAACCTGCAGAGTTTGGGGGTTATAATTCTGTAATATTTTGTGCTCCTAAATGTTGGTCATATAGCATAGCACTGATCACATTATTAATCCATGTGCCTTGCACCGAGTGTTCAATGCTTGCCAAACATGCTCATCCACTGAGACATATCTTTATCCCTGATTATATCTTTGTTAAGTGCAAAGATTTTTGTTTGTTTGTCAAGATAGGGTTTCTCTGTGTAACAGTCCTAGCTGTCCTGAAACTTGCTTTGTAGACCAGGCTACTTCCCAAGTGCTGGGATTATAGGCGTGTGCCACCACCGCCTGACACAGTGGAAAGATTTTAAACACAGATGACTGTATCTAGAACACATATAACAATTTAAGAAAAAATGAAGTTCCAAAGTTGATTTTTTTATTTTATGTACATTGGTGTTTTGCTTGCAAGTATTCCTTTGCTTGCGTGTAGTCCAGATCTTGGAATTACAGACAGCTGTAAGCTGCCATCTGGATGCTGAGAATTGAACCTGGGTCCTTTAGAAGAGCAATCAGTGCTCTTAACACTGAGCCATCTCTCCAGCCCCAAGTTGATTTTTTTTTTTTTTGGAATATTGGCTTGTTTGGGTTTTTTTTAGATTTATTTATTTATTATGTATACAACATTCTGCCTCGATGTATGCCCGCACACCAGAGGAGGGTGCCAAATCTCAGTACAGATGGTTGTGAGCCACCATGTGGTTGCTGGGAATTGAACTCAGGACCTCTGGAAGAGCAGGCAATGCTCTTAACCTCTGAGCCATCTCTCCAGCCCAAGTTGATTTATTTTTAAGAAAATTATTTGGTTATAGGTTATCTAACATAGCGAATATTCCATTTTAAGATGGACATATGCCTGTCGATGTCTAAGAAAAGGCTTGGTTATTTTTTCCCCGTTGTTTTTATTTTAAAACCTCAAGTTTGCAGACAGTTCATGTGCATTTTGGACTAGCTTAGATGCCTTGGGGCTTCAAGCTGCATAAACAGTAGCAGAGATAGTTTAATATAAAATCGGCTACAGGGTTTGGAGGCATAACCTAAATGTAAGAACATGAGTATAGCTTATATAACGCCCTGGGTTCAAACACCAACACCAAAAACAAAACCAGCAAAAACAGAAAAGTGGGGGCTGGAGAGATGACTCAGGGGTTACAAACCCTAGGCCATTCTTCCAGAGGACCTGGGTTCAATTCCCAGCACCTACATGGTGGCTTACAAACATGTAACTTCAGTTCTAAGGGATCCTATGTCTTCTTCCAGCCTCCATGGGCATTGTCCTCACATGGTAAGGACATACACATGCAAGCAAAACACTCATACACATACGATATTTTTTTCAAAAGTTGCATATTTAGATAGAGTTGAACCCCTTATTTCTGTTGCTGTTTGTTGCTTTAGCTGGTAATAGTGTGACTTTTCTGAGTTTTTCCAGCAGTAAAATGAATATTACAAAACCACTTTAAAACTTCTTGGGTGATTGGGCTTTTAAATGTGATTAGTATAAAGGACTAGTATATCATTGATAGTTTTTTGTGTTAAAATTGCTTTCTGGTACATGTTACTTAAAAATCAAACGAATTTAGCCATGGTATTGCATACTTGTAATCCCAGAGGCAGGTGGATCTCTGTAAGTTTGAGGCCAATCTGATCTATGTATTGAGTTTGGGTCACCCAGTGTTACACAATGAAACCAAGAAAAAGAGAAAGGAAGAAAGAGGGGGAAAAAAGGCAAGTTAGGATAGATGGAAGAAAGTTGCTTTCTTTTGTTTGAAAGGTGTACTGATCACTATCTACAATAAACCATAGCTTAAAGACCTGGAGCCAGCGTCAACTCCTTGAATGTCTCTCTTGAAAGATTTTGTTGGTTTCAAGACAGGGTTTCTCTATGTATCCTTCGCTGTCCTGAAACTCACTCTGTAGACCAGGTTGGCCTCAAACTCAGATCCACCTGGCTCTGCCTCCCAAGTGCTGGGGTCAAAGGCATGTCCGCCACCACTGCCCGACTTGGAATGAATATTTTATGACTACATATAAATCATCAAGTGACTCCAGCATTATGTAGACTGTAGGGGAAATGTTTTGTTAGCAGAGGACACTATAAACGTGAGCAGCTGCTAAGGCAGGTGAGACCGACCCTACTCTAGGAAATGCTATGACTCCTACAATATTGTATACTTCATCCCTAGTTACTTCACATTCTGTGAGGCCCAGAAAATGAATGTAGACTTTTTTACTGATTAAATTTATATGTGATCAATATTTTATATCTTTCCATCTAATAGGGTTTTTTGTTGTTCCTAATGATTTGTTTTTAAATTTTATTATTAACTTTGATGTATATAGGCATTTTGCCTGCATGTACATGTGTCCTACATGTATGTCTGTGTATAACCAATGTGGTATCTGTAAAGGCCAGAAAAAGGCATCAGGTACCCTGGGACTTGTGTTACAGTTATGACCACCATGTGGGTGCTGGAATCAAATTGGAGGCCTCTGGAAGAGTGGGAGGTGCTTTTCATCCCTGAGACATTGCTTAAGTGCTCACCACCCCCACCTCCCCCTTTTAATGGGAAACCACTGTGGCTTCCAGCTTGCAGTCCTCCTACTTTAACCTAAGTGCTGAGATCACAAGACATTGGCACCATACCCAGAAATAGTTTTTCTTTATATCACTTGCCCTCTGATATTATCAAAGGTTTTTAGAGTTAACCTTAAGATTCACAGCCAGACCATGTGGCACACACCTTTAATCCCAGCACTCAGGAGGCAGAGGCAGGTGGAACTCTTGAGTTCAAGGCCAGCTTGGTCTACAGAGCTTGGTCTACAGAGGGAGTTTCAGGATATCCAGAGGTACACAGAGAACTCTGTCTCAAAAACAAAAACAAACCAACAAAGAAGACCTATAAATCCTAAACTGGGATTTCATCAGCAAACAATCTTTCCACAACTCCCTGCCCTGTTTCGTCCATAATGTCTCAAAGATTTGTTTTAAAAATTTAAAAATTACATTTACTCTCTCTTTCTCAGGTCATCAGCTAGCAGTCTTTACCCACTGGCATGTCCCCTGCCTCCAGCTTTTTCAAGGCAGTGACTGGCAGCGTGCCTTTCTTCCTGCCTCTCTCCAGTCTCCTAGTGGGACTGTCAAGGCCTTGAGTACAGAGTATACTCCAGTGAGATCTACAGGACTGGTCTGAAAACACAGCAGTTCCTCTTCTGCTTTCTGTAGATACCTGTTCAAATTATTAGAATTTGCTCCCAACTCACTCCACAAGCATTTCAGAAGGAACTTGGTTCTTGATATTTCCACCTCTGCTTTAGCAATCTTCTTAAAGGCTTCTGCCACCAGCTTATTTTCACTGCTAAAAGCAAGATTTAATCAAAGGCCCATAGAGCATACTAGGTAGGAATTCAGGTGACTGGGGTTTCAAATATTACTCTACCAATCTTGGGCAAATTAACAGAAGTCTCGGTTTTCCTTATTTGCCAAGTGGAGATAACAATACTTAACCCCCAATGGTAGTGCATTATGAATGTTAGGGGTTTTCTGTATTGCCTGGGACATTTAAGTATCCAATAAACCTTACCTATTCTGAGGATCAAAGAATGTAAAAGTAAAAGAGCCCTGGAAGATAGGAGAGGGATGATCAATTCTTACTTTATAACTGATCAGCCCTACTTAATGTCAAATATGGGTATGACAATAATGAGTGTACTTGGAGATGTTGAAAAGCAAGAAACTATACTGTCAATAAAATTTGTTAAGTAAATTCTGTGTCCAAAGAAAGAAACAGGAACTAAGGTTCAACCTCTTCTGTCAAAGGACTAGAGTTTAGTTTCCTCTTTAGTAAAGAAAAGCTTCAGTAGTCATTGTCCTTCTCATAGAAATATGGTAAAAATAAACCAGGAAAATTCTGAGGTTGTGTGTGTCTTTTTTTTTTTTTTCAGGATAGAAGGGAAAACAAGAAATATTTCAAATGAGAGAAACAGGATCCTATGACAGAGTATTCTAGTACTGTTTCAAATCTAGAAAAGAAATGCCAGAGAAATGCTACATATAAAAATAATTTGAGGGGCTGGAGAGATGGCTCAGTGGTAAGAGCACTGCCTGCTCTTCTAAAGGTCCTGAGTCAATGCCCAGCAACCACATAGTGGCTCACAACCATCTGTAATGAAATCTGGTGCCCTCTTCTGGCTTGAAGGCATGCTTCCAAGCAGAATACTGTATACACAATAAATAAATCTTTAAAAAATATAGTTTCTGTGTGATTATTTTGGGTCTGAGCTGCCAAGCAGCCAGGAACCAACAAGTGGCCTCCTCACAACAAATATTAAGGCATAACATATCACAATAAGACTAAATGACATGGGGAAATGACTTATACTAAATAATAAAAGGCTAGCCTTTATATGGTCTACTTTTGTTAGAAATAGAAAAGTATATAGAAGAAACCAATAATTGGGTGGGGATTACAAGTAAATTTATTTTCTTGAAATCATTTTTAAATAAAACATACATTTCATAGAAACCCTTCAAGTCCTAATACTTGGAGCTCTAATACCCTCACAAAATACCGAGTTTCATCTTAATATATGTCAAAACCCTTTTAGTGTTTATGCACTACCACAAAACAGGTATAGACAGAGAATAAAAAGTGGTAACTCAAAGAGGGAAAATTTTCAATACTAATTTAACTCAGTTATGAAATGTTTGCATCCCTGACTAGATAAATAGCATGCATTGGTTTAATTTATTTTACCATTAAAGCATACCTTGAGAATAGCTATTGGCTTGAGAAGGTTCACCTATCATGTCCACTGATAATGAATTGTGTAATTCCTGAGAGTGTTTTTCCATTAGCTCTACTGTGTCACTGGATGAAGATGATGATGAAGACAGTCCCAATCTCATATATCTTCCTTTTTTACCACACAGTAAACAGTCTACTGGTGTGGCACTAGGACCCCGGGGCAGATGAACTTCATCTCTGTTGTAGTTCCTAATAGCTCCACTGTGATGCACAGAGCGCTCTCGTTGCCAGATGTAATGGGTTGGTGCAATGGCCATAACCTATATAATGAAATGGTTACTTTAGAATTTAATAAAAGCATAAAATTGAGTAAAGTACAGAAATTGTACTTTAAGAGCAGCTTTTTCTAAAACAGATTAAAAAACAAAAGAAAGGAAAAAAAGACTGGAGCCAGGCGGTGGTGGCTCACACCTTGAATCCCAGCACTTGGGTGGCAGAGGCAGGCAGATCTCTGTGAGTTTGAGGCCAGCCTGGTCTACAGAGCAAAGGACAGCAAAGGCTATGCAAAGAAACCCTGTATCAAAAAACAAACAATTAGAACACTTAGGTTACCAAGTTTAGAGTTTCTACAGCGGCATTTCTGAAGAGTGGCTTCTTGGATCTTTAATATTATAACTGGCAAGGATCTAAATTAGTTCAAGAAGATAATAAAAATGAAGAAACCTTGGGCTGGAGATATGGCTCAGTGGTTAAGAGCACTGGCTGCTCTTCCAGAGGTCCCAAGTTCAATTCCCAGCAATCACATGGTGGCTCACAACCATTTGTAATGATATCTGGTGCCCTCTTTTGGCCTGCAGGCATACATGGAGGCAGAATGTATATATACATAATAAATAAATAAATATTTTTAAAAAATGAAGAAACCTTTTAAGTTGATATTTATTTATTTAATCGGTTTTTTGAGACAGAGTCTCTCTATATAGCTGGCTGTCCTCAAACTTAGAGATCTGCCAGTTTGTGCCTCCTGAGTGTCAGGAAAAGGTGTATGTATCTGTCAATAATTAGATACCGGCTAGGATATTTATTTTTAAAATTCTAATTATTTATAAGTATATGAAAGATAATGTAGTTCACCTAAAACATTACATAATTCTTAACTTTTGAGTGTGTTAGGTTAAAAAATTAGGCTCCTATGTTTGTTAGGCTAATTTTTAAATATTTGCAGTTATATCAAAGGTTGTGGTATTAAAAATAAAAACATAAATTAATTTCTTTGTTCCTTAGTTTCCTTATTTGTTACATAGCGATAACAGCAAGAGTGTATTTTTAGAAGGTTGTGGTGAGGAAAGAATGCATTTTATAAAGCACTTAAGGCCTCACCATCGGAGCTGGAGAGATGGCTCAGTGGTTAAGAGCATTGGCCAGTCTTCCAGAGGACTTGAGTTCAATTCCCAGTACCCACATGGCAGCTCACAACTGTCTGTAACTCCAAGATTTGACACTGACATACATGCAGACAAAACACCAATGCAAATAAAATAAAAATAAATTATTTAAAAAGACCTAGCAGGCATTGTCATAGGTTTATTAAATAAAGCATGAACTTTATTTAGTCGTAGACTTTCTTGTCCTGGCTCTACCAATTGCTGACTGTATGCTACGGAGCAAGTTATTTAACCTCTCTGAGGTTCACTTACTTCATTGATAAAAATGGGAGTGCCAAATACCCCGAAGATTGTTTTGAGATTCAATATTATATATGTAAAGTCTTTACCACATAGTAAGTAGCTGGAAAGTGATAGCCGTTTAAGACATTGAGATAAGGAAAAGATTACTATGCCGACTTCATGAAATTCAAAACATCAATGAGTTTTAGTTCAAAACCTTTAGCTTCAGTTATCAATGACCCACAGTAAGTGAGAATTAGAATAATACTAAAATGAGAGCCAGAGAGGCAACAGTAGTGGCTTAACCTAGTGATTGTTCTAAAATGTTCTAAAATTTCTAAAATTTCAGAGCTATATTGGGGGCCGAGGAAGGACAAGGGAAGGCAGCAGCGGAGGAGCTCAGTTCTAGGGGTGTATATATAAGGTGTATAATTTTGTTTGATAAGAACTCTTGCTAGGAAAATAAAATATTACTAGATTAGTTTACTCAGCAAATGGTGGTGGTGTGGCTTTACCAAGCAAGTGCTGTACCACTGAGCCACCTCACAAATCTCTATGTAAGTTTCTTAAATTTTATGTGTGTATCTATATACACATATATAGATAAAATGTAATCAATCTATAAAATAAATACATATAAAATATATACACCCATGAAGATGGGAAGGACAGAAACTATGATTCATATAACTCAGGATGGCTTTGAACACACATATGGCTAAGGATGACCTTATTCTTAGATTTCTGGTCTCCTTGTCCACCTTCTAAGTGATGGGTTTACAGGTATATACTGCTATATCCTTCCTTTAAGTTTTCAACTAAAACTATTAATAAAGTTCCATACATAAAAGAAAACTAGAAGCAAATGAGAATGTTAATTGTACAAAACTTCCTAAGGTGAGGAAGTAGAATATTAGATAACTATTACAATTGTATTTTTTGGGGATTGAACCCAGTGCTTCATGCAAATTAAACAGACATACCACTGAACGAGACTCCCCAAGAATCTCTTTCTTTCTCTCTCTCTCTTTCTTTCTTTCTTTCTTTCATTCTTTCTTTCTTTTTTTCGAGACAGGGTTTCTCTGTGTAGTGTTGGAGCTGTCCTAGAATTCGCTCTGTAGACCAGGCTGGCCTCAAACTCACAGAGATCGTCCTCCTCTACCTCCCAATGCTGGGATTAAAAGTGTGCGCCACCACCTCCTAGTTTATTTCTTTTGTTTTTAGTGAATTCTTTTCCTCAGCACTTTTTCATGTCTAGAATATTCTCTTCTTTTGTCCTAGTATGACTTTTGATCTGTGTGTCCTCATAGAAGCTAGGCACCCTCTCTGTGCTTCATTGGTCCCCTATCTGCTACTTCCTAACTGAGAGGTAATTCACGTGTGGTGATGAGAGCCATGACTGATAGGCTCTCAAAGACTGTGAGGGTTGTTTTCGCCTTGAATCTTTACGACATTTAACATAATTTTTTTACACTGGGTGACATGATGCCATTTTCATGCGAGGATGTAATGTACTTTAAAGCATATTCCCCACATCTTGCTGCCCTCACTCTTTTGTGCCTTACCCTCCCTTTTAGTTTCCTTTATACTTTTGCTGCTTTTACTTTCTTTTTAAAACCCATTTAACGTATTATTAGTTATTATTTGAGACAGTGTCTCTTTATGTAGACTGACGGCCTCAGAGTCACAGAAATCCACCTGCCTCTGCCTCCCATGTACTGGCACTAAAGTTGCGCACCACTGTGCTCAGCATAGTCAGAGTGGTGTTATGTCATGTCAGCTGTACATAAATGGTTTGATACATCTCTATAAAAATGTAAGATGCACAAAATAGAGAAAAATGTGGTATTGGTGTTTTTGAGGTCTACAGAATAGTAAGATAAGAAACGAAAGTAAAAAAGATAAAAGTATGAAAAGAAGTCAAAGTATCCTTATTTTTAGATGATCTAGTTTCCTACATACAGTCCACAATCCCAAGATTCCACCAGAAAACCCTTAGAGCTGATAAACACTTTCAGCAATTTGGCAGTATATATAGAAAAATCAGTACTCTTCCTATATACCAATAACAAACATGTTGAGCAAGAAACCAGAAAGACAATCTTATTCACAACTTCCTCAAAACAAACAAACCTCGGAGGGGCTGGAGAGATGGCTTAGTGGTTAAGAGTAGTGACTGCTCTTCTAGAGGAACTAGGTTCAATTCCCAGCAGCTCAGAACTGTCTATAACTCCAGTTCCAGAAGACCTGAAACCCTCACACAGACATACATACAGGCAAAACACCAATGTACATGAAATAAATAATTTAGAAAAACCTTGGAATAAACTTAACCAAGAAGATAAAAGACCTATACAATTAAAATTTTTCTAAGCTTTAAGCATCATTTCTATGTGGTGATTCTCCTTAGCTTCTTTTTACCCAGTTATTACCCTAAATTCCTATGTTTAAATACCAAATTCCTTAACTTTTCAATAAACCAGTTTGATTCTCTTTCCTTTCTTATTACATTAGAGAACCCAACATTCTTCCTGTTATACAGATCTGAAACCAATGATTTGTTTTCCCAAATATGCTCTAGCCAACTTATTACTAAGTCATGACAACTATAATTTTGTAGCATTCTAACACTAGCTTCACTTCCAGAGTACTTCTATCTAGTTCCTAAACTATAACAAGTTTAGCTCTTTCCAGCAGCTCCAATAGAGGGTCTCTTTTGCATACCATCATTGTATTATTCTGTCCAATACTATTGCTCCCTAAATTACAAATCTGAAACCAAGCAGTAGCTATCAGACATTAGCTATGATGATACTGTAGCAACAACACCAGAGTACATAAAGCAGCATAAAGAAAAGCTTTCTCCCCAGTCAACTGTCACCTTTTATGATACATGAAAGGTGCTGGGATGGAATCTCTCAGTGGATAGGCAGCTACCCTGATATGTGAACCAGTCTAGAAATTAAGCCATCATCAGTGTAAATTAATTTCACTTTAAAGGAACTATGTCTAAAAAGGCAAGAAAGTAAGAAACCAAGATCAGAGTTAGTAGGGAAATAGTCTTAATTTTTTTCTGGAAAAGCCGTGTGTGTGTATGTGTACACGTGTGTATTTGTAATACAGAGCATATTTTATTTGCATATAATTACGGTCCACCTTTCTTCAAACAAGTGTGTAAGGGAGCTGAACACAAAAGGGGGGGGATGGAGAGATGGTTCAGCTATTAAGAGAAGTTGTTGCTCATGCAGAGGACCTAGGCTGGATGCCTAGCAGCACATGGTCGCTTACAACTATCTGTATCTCAGTTGCAGAGAATTTAATGCTCTCTTCTGATACGGGCACCAGGCACTCATGTGGTACAAAAATACACATGGAGATGAAATATATGTATGCATAAAATAAGTCTAAAAATTAAAATAAAAAAGTAATTCACATTTAAATTGGACCCAAAAGGGAAGTTGAACTAAAGTGAGAAAAAGCCAACAGTTACAAAACGCAATGCAGTTAAGATGGTTATAGAAAATAGTTGCGCAAATGTAGTTTTTAAAAGAAAAAGGGGCTGGGTATGGTGGTGCATACCTTTAATCCCAGCATTAAGGAGATAAAGACAGGCAGATTGCTGTGAGGTCAAGGCCAGCCTGGTCTATAAGTTA